AATCCTTCCCCCACCAAGAATTGTGGTGCCATTAAGGAAGGAACAGGGTCAGTAAGCAGGAAACAAAGATTCCACTACAACTATAACTGCATGAGGAGTATTTTATCTTTTATGAAGTGAAGGGGGGAGGCTTCATTTCCAAACAGCTCTTTCTTTGCTCACTCAGATAATGGAGGAAGTGGCAGATGCTCTGATCTACTGCCACGAAAAAAAGGTGATCCACAGGGATATTAAGCCAGAGAACCTACTGCTGGGGCTCAGGGGTGAGGTGAAGATTGCAGACTTTGGCTGGTCTGTGCACACCCCATCTCTGAGGTAGGTCTGGTGGTGGTGGTATGGGCCCTAGGTGCCACTTAGGAATGATCCAATTTAATTCATGCTGTGTGTAAGACCCAGATGCAAGATGCAAACTTGCTTTTGTATTTGAGTACTGCCTTTTTCAAATGCATATATTTAATGTGCAATTGTAGACAAAGAATGTAGCTCGACCTTCTCTTTTATCTTTTGATCTCTGGTAACATGTGACTTTTCCAGTAAGTACCCATGTAGGTAAGATTCATTGCTCTATAACTCCAGGAATTTTAATTGGTCCTTCTTGATGCACTGTCTCTTTGTTCAAAATCTCTGCTGATGCCCAACATATCTGAAAACATCTTGGATCATGAGCTACATAACTGCGTAACTACATAAATAATTCCAAAATACAGAATTGGTGGGTCCCAGTATTGGCCGTCCCTAAACCTTGATCCTTATTAAAACTTAGTGTTTCCATGGGGCGCCTGGGTGGCTCAGTGGGTTGAGCCTCTGCCTTCGGCTCGGGTCGTGATCTCGGGGTCCTGGGATCGAGCCCCGCATCGGGCTCTCTGCTCAGGGGGAGCCTGCTTCCTCCTCTTTCTCTGCCTGCCTCTCTGCCTACTTGTGATCTCTGTCTGTCAAATAAATAAATAAAATCTTAAAAAAAAAAACTTAGTGTTTCCAAACTCCCATGCTCAGGAGGGGACTTCTCGGACTTTTGAGAGTCTCCCTTCTTACTGGAATCTAGAAAAGGAGGGTTACCCTTGTTCTGGGCCTTTGCACAGTGCTCCCTTCCCTGGTGTCCTCTAGGAGAAAGACAGCGTGTGGGACTCTGGACTACTTGCCCCCCGAAATTATTGAAAGGAGAACATATAATGAGAAAGTAGATCTGTGGAGCATTGGAGTGCTGTGTTATGAGCTGCTGGTGGGAAGTCCACCCTTCGAGAGTCCTTCCCATATTGAGACATACCAACGCATCCTCAAGGTAAGATGGCTACACTCTGGGCATTCATTCAGGAGCCAGGCCTGCAGAGCCTGTGGTGCACGCAAAGATTGCCTAATAAGATCCAGAACAGTGCTTTCAAGGGTCTTAAGGAATGGCGAAAACACACAGCACAGAAATTAATGATGTTCTCTTTTTCTTCTCTGGCATCATCAGGTCGATGTAAGGTTTCCCCCATCATTACCTTTGGGGGCCCGGGACTTGATCTCCAGGCTTCTCAGGTACCAGCCTTCGGAGCGGCTGCCCTTAGCCCAGATCCTGGAGCACCCCTGGGTCCGGGCCCACTCTCAGAGGGTGTTGCCTCCATCCATTCAGATGGCTTCTTGAGCCCTGTGTGCACCTGTTTCATTGTGGTTGCCCAGAGAGCTCTCCTGGATCTACTATTTTATCGGTCTTTTGTTGGTTTTAGATTCACAATTTTAATTAATAAAACTTGAATAATTTTGTAGCAGTTCTTTATAGTTCTTTGAGTTGGTGTGTGACTGGATGGAATCCTTATTTCTTGTAGAAGCTCTTTCCCATGAGAGCCTCCCAAGATGATGTCCCTCCTGGGCAAGGATGGTGACTCAACCACTCACCTTAAAAACTAGTTACTGGGGCACCTGGGTGGCTCAGTGGGTTAAAGCCTCTGCCTTCGGCCCAGGTCATGATCCCAGAATCCTGGGATCGAGCCCCGCATTGGGCTCTCTGCTCAGCAGGGAGCCTGCTTCCTCCCCTCTCTGCCTGCCTCTCTGCCTACTTGTGATCTCTGTCTATCAAATAAATAAATAAATAAAATCTTTTTAAAAAAAAAAAGGAAAACTAGTTACTGCCTTGTGCAGATAACCACTCTGGTGGTGTACGACCTACCACCTGTCACGTTTGCTTCTAGACTCCCATGTACTATTCCCCATGTTTTCCTGAGTATGCCATTTGTAAGCCAGGACTGATCAGCCCAGAGGTCCACCCTCTTCATACTCACCTCCAGCGTGCTACCATCTCTGAGACAAAATGTTTCACTGTACATCAGTGCCACTCAATTCTCAATGAATTCACTAGCACCTACGTCGTGTGTCATATTCTGATTGCACCAAGTAAATCATGCATAATAATGAATGTAACATCACATCTTCTGAAAAGACCTCCTCCACTTGCAACAATTTAGGGAACTCTTCCAGCTTTTCCCTGTATCCTGTTACAGCCTCGTGTGTCAGCTACTCCCTCCATCCATAAGTTGACTTCACCAGAACACACAGAGTTGGGAGCTTAAGCATGTTCTCTGCTCATCGCAGTCATTGCTCTCATGGCTGTGTCTCCTGACTTAAAAATACTTTATATGAAGTACATATCACTCTCTTCATGGGTTCCTCAATATGAAATGTCGAGCACATGCAGGACCACGTCTCTGCATGTGACCAGACCCACTAAGTAAACAGAAGTAACTCAGCCACTCCAACTCGCCGACGGACAGCCTCACTACCGCAGATCTGTCATCTAAATGCTCCAGGACATTAGTTCATGGTTTTTCATCTGTACCTCCAGTGCCCATATTTCTGTGCTTTCTAGCTTTGTCTTGTCAGTGCTCTCAAATCAGTATTTCAATTAAACACCTGGAAATTCCTAATAAACTCACTGGTTTGTACATAGGAACCCTGCAAGACTATTCAGTACTGGTGCTAGATAAACACATCACTGGGCACATATTTGGGGAGGTAGATTAAGCAGAGAAAAGTCAATGAGGGCTTCCACATTGACTACGAGGTGACGTGTATAAATGGTGAAAACTCTCAGACATGCTCTACGGTAGGGATTTCAAAGTCTCCAATAGCTACATAGTTTTCCTCACCACTTACTCTGGGCATTCTGCCACCTAGGACACAGAATATAAAAATCTTAATTTTGGTACCTGATGTACACCCTACCCTCAAATGATTTAATTTAGTGGGGTCAGCCATATGTGAAAAGAATGCCTTTTCCAATTTGGTCAAATTACTATGCCCAATGATGGATCACACTGTTCCTTGTGTGTTAATTACGCCACACTTCTCCACAACCTCCTTTTATAAAAAGCATCTTCTTCTAGGAAATCAACTGCATCTTAATCCTTGATTCAGTCATTATGCTCTTCTCTACTTCGAAAATTTTTTTAGTTTTTATTTATATTCCAACTAACATACAGTGTAATATTAGTTTCAGGTGTACAATATAGTGATTCAACACTTCCATACACAACACAATGCTCATCGGAAGTGCACTCCTGGGCACCTGGGTGGTTCAGTTGTTTGAGCGGCTGCCTTCTGCTCAGGCCATGATCCTGGAGTCCCAGGACTGAGTTCCACAGTGGTCTCCCTGCTCAGCAGAGGGCTGCTTCTCCCTCTGACTTTCCCCCCTTTCATGCTCTCTCTCTCATTCTCTCTCTCTCAAATAAATAAATAAATAAATAAATAAATAAAATCTTTTCTTTTTTTGAAGTGCGCTCGTTCATCCTCATCACCTACTGAACCTCTACCCCACCCACCTCTCCTCTGGCAACCCTCAGTCAGTTCGTTCTTTATGGTTAATAGCGTTTCTTAGTTTTCCTCTTTTTTTCCCTCCGTGATCGTTTGTTTTGGTTCTTAAATCCCACATCTGAGTGAAATCATATGGTATTTGTCTTTCTCTGACTTATTTTGCTTAGGATAATACACTCTAACTCCATCCATGCCGTTATAAATGGCACCGTTTCATTCCTTCTCATGGCTGAGTAATAGTCCATAAACTTAAATCTCTTGATATCTTCTGCACACAGTTTCCATTCTTCACGACCGTATGTCTTCTCAACTCATTCCAAGTGAGGCGTTATTCTCTCACTCTCATAGTCATGAGAAGAAAACTATAGAAGTCCCCGATGGCGACATGTAAGATTTTGCCTAATATAACTCTGAAAAGAATGTTAGCATCTAACACGGTTTTGTGGGTTTCTCGTTTGCACCCCCTCAGCGCCGGGCTGGCTCCGGTTTCGCCCCGGTCCGTTCCCGTCTCCACCTATTCTCGCCCTCGCGGAGACTCGAGGCGGCGGCGGCGGCCGACCACTCCCGCACTCCGCGTCAGGGCACGACCCCTCCGCCGGCGCTCAGACGCAGGGCGAGGTGCCGCGTGGGACAGACACTCCACAGCGCCGGGCTCCAGCCTGGGGTCACGGGCGGCCTCCCCAGCTCCAGGGCTCCCACGCCGCCCCTCCAGCTCCCAGGCCCGATCCGCGCGTCAAGGCGCGGCAGCGCGTGGCGCTGGCCCACAGAAAGCCCCTCAGAGGGGGGCCGCGTCGGAGGGGGCTTCCGGCGTCCTGGCCCCGGCGGTGCCGTCACCGCTGGAGCACCGTCTTCCGTCCAGGGACATCTCCGGGAGGTGAGGCGCACTGGGGACGTCACCAGCCGACCCAAGGGCCTGGTGACCACGCGTCCTGATCGCGGGCGGAGGTCCCCGCCGCCGAGCCTCGCCTTTCCCGGGCGGGACAGGGACGGCCTCGCCTTTCCTCCTGTCCCCTCGCGTTGTGTTCGCCGTTTAGAGGGGGCTGTGACGACGAGCTCTGGGTCTGGTAGGTCTTTTAGGACGAGGAGTACCCGCTCCGGAACACGTTCTTCCGGGGCGCGTTTGTAGAGCCCAAACTACACTGCCCAGAAGGCTGTGCACTGGCGTCCGCTCCCGTGGCGGCGGGGTTTCCGGGCTCCTGGTCCTACGTCATTCGTATGCGACGGTTCCGTCCACGCCAGCTGTGGGGAGGGCGTCGCTGTTCTGTGGCCACCTCCAGTGAAGCTCTTCCAAGAAGAGCAGAGAGACGGCTACCGCTCAGCCCCGCGCCTTTGAAGGAGCCGTGAGCCACCCGACGCCCGGGGAGTGGGAAAGTCAGCCGCGGTCACACCTCCCGGGTCAGGGGAGAGGTGGCAGTCGGCCGAGCCGGCGGGACCCGCCTGCGTCGCTGCCGGTCCCGGCCTCGCTCCGTGCACAGGGTCCCATGATGGCGGCGGCGTGGAGGGACCCTGCGCGGGTGAGTGGACGATGTCTGGGGCATTGCTGCCTAGCTGCTGCGGAGAGGGCTCCTGGGCAGCCTGGAGCGAGGCGGTACTCGGTTTCTCTTTGATGTGTGTGTGTCAGACGAGTGGAGAAGGTTGTCACTTTCTTCATCTCCAGTCTTAGAGTACACGGAGAGGGACTGAATGTGCAGATGGCCCGACAATGGGCACACCGTATTTAAAAGTGACACTGACCCCAGACGTGCTGCTCCTGCCCAGGAATCGAATCCCTCCTGTACCCTTAGCAACCTGGGAACCAGTCCGCTCTATCATTATTGGCCGGAAGCCCGATTCCTAGCCCTGAGTGACACCCAGGAAGCTAGACCATGACTTCTCTAAGACTCGGCCCCAGATAGCCAAGATTTGATTAATAACTGATCCTCGCTAATTCTTCCCCAATTTTCAGCTCAAGACGGATGGGAAAAATGCATATCTGTACCCCTAACCAATCACATACGATGCTAGGGGAGTGCATGTCAGAGAGTTTCCATAATTTAGACATATATCATTTGGTTGTCAATGTGGAGGCCCTAGTTGACTTTTCTGTGTTTATCTAAATGGCCAAGATGTGCCTCGTGATGTGAGTTTATCCAGCACCAGAGCTGAGTAATACTGCAGGGTTCCTATGTATGAACCAATTAATTAGGAATGTCCAGGTGTTTAATAGAAATATTAATTCGAGAGCACTGATAGAGGGGACAAACCTGCAATGCACAGAGATGTGGGTACCGAAAGTGCACATGAAAAACCATGAGCCAGTGGCTTGGAGCATTTAAATGACAGATGTGCAGTAGTGGGGCTGTCCATCGGGGAGTGGAGTAGCTGAGTTCTTTATATTTAACTTGTGGTGTGTAGGATGTGGTCCTGCACATGTTGGATATTTAACATTGAGGAAACTAGAAAATGGTGGAGTAACGTTAACAAGGCAAACTCCTTATGAAGTGTTTTCAAGTCAACATTCGAACAACTAGACAACACTGGTGGAAACTCAAGATGACTTAAGACCTGGGGACTTGTAGTCCCTTTACCCAGGATGCGAAGCCCTCAGCATGGGGCAGGCAGCTAGCAGGACCAGTGAGGCTCAGGTACTGCTGTTGTTACTGACACCGTTATTACATGCTCGCTCATTCCTCGGACGTCCTAGAGCCCTTGCTGTCTGCATCTCCCAGTCCTCGCGTCATTTCCATTGTCTGTGTGACCTTCCAGGGCCTCCCACGGAGGAGGCTTCTCCCTTACACTACCGGAGCACATCCAGAGCAGGGCCCACCTGCCCCTCGAGCCCAGCACAGAGCTTGGCCCTCAGGAGGTACTGGGTGATGGGAGCCTTGATCACTCTGCATCTTTACCGGGGATGTAGGGATGAGCTCTGATCCCATCCAGCAGCCCCAAGGCCAACGCTGCTCTCTGTGTTTGACTTGGCAGGTATCTGTGACCTTCGATGATGTGGCCGTGACTTTTACCCAGGAGGAGTGGGGGCAGCTGGACCCGGCCCAGAGGACCCTGTACCAGGAGGTGATGCTGGAAAACTGTGGACTTCTGGTGTCTCTGGGTAAGTCCTCCCCACTCCACCATGGGGACACCTGCTGCCTCCTTGTCAGAGCACCCTCTGGCTCCAGGCCTGGCTGGTCAAGAAGACTTCTGGAGCCCTCCCCGTGTCCCTCCTCCCTGCAGCTTCAGCCGTTTTCTAGATTAATCTCTTTGGACCTGCTGTCCTGTGTCTGTTTGGGCAAGAAACAGTTCCTCTTTGGCTCCTAGAAAACCGTGGAAGGAAAAGGGGGTGTTCTGCAGAACCCAGAGGGAGGATTTCCAGCTGGTGCCGTGAGGCTCTGGTAGAGGAACTGGGAACCACCACGATGATGCCGTGGCTTCTGGTCTCTTGTCCTGGCTTCTCTCCCTGGCTCTCTCTGCTCATGTCTCTGTATGCAGGAAGGTTTTTTCCTGCCTCATCAAGTAGTGATGGGACTGGCCACCGGTCCCTGCTCTCTCGGCCCCCAGAGCCTCGTCTCCGCGTCTTGGCGTGCTCCTACGCTTCCTGTCTGTCTGTCTGCTGCCAGGCCGTGTGTGGTGTTCTTGAGGCAGGAACGGCCGCCGGAGCCAGTACTTCTCTGGACCTGTCACCCCGGTGCCCAGCACAGACTGGCCTCCATCCAAGGTTCTGATTTCACAGTCCGGAGGGGGAGCTGACTGCGCGAGCCTGGTGGGCTCAAGTGTCCTTAGCAGGCCTGTGAGTGATGGGGTTCTCCAAGGAGGGAGTGAGTCAGGCAGGCCCCCAGAAGCCTTTGCCTTCATCGCCGACAGATACTGTCCCAAAGGACATGGTCCCAGTTCTGGGGATTCTCTGTGTTTGTGCCTCCGTGATGGTCCCAAGGTTCAAGGGCCAGCATCCTCTGCCGGGCCGAGAGACGTTAGAGTAAAGCTCCTCGGCAGCTGGCAGTTGTGCCCCCAGGAGATACTTGGCGATGTTGGCGTGCCCTCTGGGTTGTCCTGCCGTGGGTGTAGATGGGACTGGCATCTAGGGGTTTGAGTCCGGAGATGCCGTAACCCCCTCTGATGGATGCGACAGCGCCCACTCAGTGACGAATTGTGCCGCCTGCTGCGTCCCGAGCGCCGCGGCTGAGAAGCACCAGCTTCGATGTTTCTCTCCTTGGGGAGAATCCGCACAGGCCGTTCAGTTAGAGGGAAAGGGGGGCTATAAATCCAGAGCCGAGGATGAGACATGCCTATTCTTGGAGAACTGGAATTATGTCTGCCAGTGAGAAGAGAAAAAGCAAAACTAGAACAGCTGGATAGATCAAATGTTTCGTAACAAAATGTTTCAGAATAGAAGTCCACGCTCTCCTCCTGCTGACCTCACCCCTCACCTTCAGTGCTTTCCCGGA